GAGGATGATCCGAAGACATGCCATCACAATTTTGATCCTCTGCGGAGGGGATGGCACCCCCGCTTCGGTAGCCCGACGACCTGCGCGCGAAGTCGAGCACTTTACGGTAGCACAGTTTAACGAGGACCAATACCGCACACCCTCGGTCCCTACGCAGACTGATCCAAGTGGTCACCCACCCGCACACTGACCGCAGCCAGTGATGCTTGACTTCTGTGATCTGCTGGGAACAGTGTCTTAACGATCAGTCCAATACAGGACTGGGGCTATTGAAATCACGAGAAATTGAAATCACGCATTTTGAGGTTTATCAATTTCTGTAAACATGCATTTCGCACAATGTCCAGTCTTAAGAACTCGCACACGATGATATGTTTCTCATTTATATGATTTTTTACTAAAACTTTTAAGACAATGCTCTTACATGTTCAGGGTGTAAAATGAAAAAAAATTTATCACTCTGAACTTACTAATGTTTAAGTCTACGAGCTACATAATGGTTCAAAGAAGAAACATCGAATATGCTAATTAATAAGTGCTAACTATCAGCTTACTTTCTCTGAATTACATATTTTTTCAGGGGATTCGGATTTTTGACTATCAAAATGCGGTAAACTTAATTTCTAAAATATAGTTCCTATAGATTAGAGCTTCTAAAATTTGGGTCCCTTTAATGTAAATTTCCTCTTTTTGCGAATTTCGCTATAGCTTCAGAACTTTTTAAGCAAAACGAAAAATTTTTGCACACAATTGTAAAATTCCTATATACGAAGATAATTTCATGTTAAAAAAAAATAATAAACTTTTTTTCATTTTTTTACGATTTTATTTTAGAACGAAAGATTTTAGATTCAAAAAATTTCCAGTAATTGAAATTTCAGTAATTTTTTCAGTTTATTACCCAATATTTATTATAAATGAACAAACATATTATTGTTACAGTGCGACTTGCGCTTTAACTAGATAAACAGGACAACCATGTATATACAATATAAATAATACTTTTTTATATTCATGTAAAATTACTTCTTTGAAAACATCGAATAAGTTATTTATGTTCGTTTATTAATCAAAATAAAATTACGACGGTTAAGTTTATAACAGTATCATTTCATTTCTAAACAGAAACACTTTTATTTTAACAGTTACATCATCATTCATTTTATATCAATGCAATCGAAATTTCTATCTTCCTCCTGCTGAACAAGCTACTTAAGTTTGGTCGTAAAATTTTTAAAGCAACCGATATCTTCAAGTATATCTGACATTTATTTTTTATTAGCTATAAAAATATCGTTTTATTATACTTTTATTCTAATTATTGTTGATTTTTGCAGAAATTACTGAATCCAAGATCAACAAACAGCGAATGTTAAAGCTAATGTTGGCGCCTAAGCGATAGCGAGTTCAATTCCCTTTACTGTTATCCTGTTCAATGTGTTCAGCTGAATCACGGGGTGAAAAAAAGCACTGCAAAAACGGAACTAAATAAAAATCGTTTGGAAGCATCGTAGAAAAGAGTTTCTAGAAGAAAGAAAAAGGGGGGAAAAAGAACCAGTGGAAGACAAGAAGTTCCGGGAAGACAATCCCTAGAAGAAAAAAAAAAATTTTTTTTTCGAATGGCAGGCACTGAACTTTATTCGTTTCGCCTTAGAAGGTGCCAGAGTTGTTACTCATTTCGCGTTACCCAGTGGGCACCTGTGAACCAAAGTCATGGAGGCGAGTAACATTGCCCACGCCACACTGCCGCAAACCCGCTCATAGGGTGGGCCACATTCATTCATCACACACAACAGAGGACAACACAAGAGAGATACATCCATGCCCAGAGCAGGATTCGAACCCGCAGCCATTGGCTTCGTAGTCAGGCGCGATAACCGCTCGGCTACCTGGCCGGCCCTAGAAGAAAACAGTTCGCTTTGAAAATTTAAAAAAAAATTAATAACCGATTAGATTGCCATTGAATTCAAATTAAATATGGTTGAATCAATTGAATTCGCATGTAATTAGTTCATTGTATTAAAAATTAATTTGTTTTGGATTAATTTTAAATTTATGGAAGGATATTGTTTTTATATTATTATTAAAAATAATCCTTTGATCCATAATTTTTATTAAACATATTTTTCAATACTTTGTATTAATTTAGGTCAGAAAAAGTGAAAAATAAGATATCTAGCATTTTACTAATTTATAGTTATAATATACAACATGAAACACCGGATTCTTTTTATTCGTTAATGGTAAAATCAAAAATCTTCCAAGCACGGCTCACTTTCAAACAATAATTCAAACAATTTTCACTTATTTCCAATTATTCAGATATAAAGAAACAGTTATTCATCATTGAACTTTCTTTTTTTTACAAAATCAATTAATCAATTATCGATAAATTTCTGAATATGAATGAAAAAAAAATTCATCTCTCTCTCTCTCTCTCTCTCTCTCTCTAAGATACATCCACCGGGCCCTCTACGGAACGAACAAAGCAAGAAGGGGTCATGGCTTCCTGAGATTCTCTCTAATTTATTCTTCTTACATTGGTGCAACATTCGTTCTTTTAATCCATTTTTAATATTCAGGTGGTCCGGTGTCATTTTTCTTGACACCACTTCTAATGAATTCCGAAATCTGTGGCAGAAACGGGAGGTTTCTTCTCACCGACTACGTATTCCAAAAATCTGTTATTTTCTACGCATGGTTCGTGTCGTAATTGGTTTGGAAAAACCTTGTTTCAAGATTTTACTCAGCTAAGGTGCAGTAAAGTTCTTTTCTGCCATAGAATTCGTCGAAAAGGACACTAACCATGGCCTTAGTTCATTGCGACCAAACCACAGTAACGTCTTATAGACTATGACCTTGGGTTCTGTTACTAACTCTTAAAAATCATTTATATGGCTGCTTTTGAAAACCCAGTGAGTTCTGGCGTTTTCACAATCGTGTGGCTACTGCTAACAGTGGTAAAAATAAGGTCTTTTTCAAGTGGTGGAGGATCGGACATTAATTCCATTCTACAATGTTTATCCTAAAATTCACCCGCAGCGCCGTATTTATACTACAAGCATTCTGCTATGGTTTAAACTATAACATGTAATAAACAGATTTTGTCAAAAACAGATAACATGTCATGAGCAGATCATGTCATAAACAGATTTTGAATACTTCGCCTTTAGCTAGCATTTGTTAAAAACTTTCGCAGTTTTCTAATTTAATGGTCAATGCGTCTGTACATTATCTGAATTACACTATTATGAAGCATTAAANAAGCGGAATAACAGAAATTCAGGAAAAGTTATCTGAGATTCAGGAAGTGTTTCCATATCTGATGTTGAGGATTGCTCATCAGCTAAAAATTACTATTTTTTTTTTGCACGTAAGACGAAAAGTAATGAAAAATAACGCATTTTTTACTACTACATAATATTTTTCAGTCATTTATTTGAATAATGTGTAATAAAAGGGAGGAGTTTGGGAACCATTAGTTAAATTGCCGGCGTAACGGATGTAGTGAACTCCCGGTTGTTTGACTGTATTAACAGCGATGAAAAAAATTATAGTAACAGTGAGCAACTTGTAATTAGTCACGAGCTAAAATGCAGTCAAATACTATTTGGGAGAAGTGCGTCAGCACCGTATATCACTCCCAGAAATTATATTAATTACCATGAATGGTACTCCTATTGTTATAATAAGAGTTATATCCACGAATGGTTAATGTCTTATTGATAATCAAGACAGAAACTAACGTGTTTCCATCTCCTGCTAATGATGGAAGCATGCGAAATGTTGCCATAGGTAGAGAGTTCTGCTCTACGCCCTCTGCTCTCTACGCTACTCTGTCACACCTGCCTCTGACTCGATTTCTGCTTTTTTGGTTGGTTAGAAATTTTGTGGGTGAAAACTTCCCGGCACCTTTCTCTTTTCTTCATTGTACCAAGACAAGAAAGGGGTTGTTAAAGTCATATAAATATTTAACGACACTTTGATTATTTTTGTCACAAACTTTCAGTTTCCTATCATGGATTCCTAATCCGACCGCCATCTTCGCCTGACACGCAGAAATATTCAGAATAGTTACTCAACTCAGCTCGTCTTTCGTCGTGTAAGCAAATTTGTCGGCATTTGCTTGTCTTCATTGTAAAATTTCATTGATTCGATCGCTCTGGTATTGGAGCCACGTGGTGAATAATGAATAGTGTTTTTTATGAGAATTATTTACAGTTTTTGTTTTGTTAACGAATAATTGTCGTTTAGTAATCAGCAGGAAAGAAAATATAGAGTTGTTTTGCTGACTGGTATGTTTCTTTCTTTAGATTTATACTTAGTAAATATGCGCGTGTGCATGTGCTAGCACCATATTGTGCAATAAGTTGTTAATGCGTAGTTATGAGAATTAGTTAATAAGTGTATAATTTAAATAAACTTGTACTGGTACTTTTACATTTTCACTATATGTTTAGTAAGGAGTCGTTCAATAGTTGTAAAAAAGGTAGTTTGCCGGTATTCCATAATCGCATCTAGAAACTTCCGTACACAATCTTGTTTATGAAGCCGCTACACGTGGGAGTATATAGTAAAAATATTTTGTATCTCAGCTGTACATTGTCAACTTTTCGCACAAATTGCATTTTGTTTTATTTAATGATTCGATAATTTAATGTCTTAAAATGGAAAATAATTTTGACAAATATTAATTTTTTATATTGTCAGGTATTTATATCCGGAACTCATTGCATTGATTTCAGCACTTGACTACAAAATATTTTTGTTCTTAGCATGTGCATGTTACATTTTCATTAATTTGTTTTAAAAATTTAATTTAACTGATTTACGAGATCTTAAAAAATAGATTCAGCAAGTTTTAATTCCTGAAATATTAAGATCACGTTGCATTTATGAAGTTATTTATACTTAGGTATAGTACTACATTTCACTTTTATGCTAAGAATACTGAATTTCATTTCATTATTTTGCGAAAGATTGATGTTAATTTTGCTAAATTAGTTTTGTTTATCTTAACAGACTATGATGTATTTTAATACTTATTCAAAAATTATTTTAACTTTATTTAGCTATTTCAGTTATTAATTGTATAGTTAAATTTAATTTATTTTGATAGTGGTGTTATTTTCTGATATATATGCAAATATTTTCTGAGTTAACCTAACAATTTAATTTTTTGTCCATACCTTCATTGTTTGTTTCATGAAATTTAATATTTAAACTTAAAATCCTTGATGGTTTCTTAATTGATTCAAGTTTCATCAGCAATGCCAAGTTTAATAATAATTTTCTTTTAAACTGATTAATGTATACCAAAATCTTAGTAGATGACATTTTATGTGGTGAAATTATTGGATTTATTGTAGGGTGAGGAATTTTCGTAGCATATATTGATGCATATTTATAAGGGGACCTTATTTAGACCGTGAAGCATTTGATAACTAAGTTAAGGTTTTAAAATATTGTAATATTTTGTAAATACTGAAAAAATAGTTACGTTGAAAGAGTTTGTTACAGAACTGTGATATAAGACTAAGAAAAAGTACAAAAATTTTAATAAGTTTAATTGACAATTGATTATAATAATGACATGAAATAAATGTTACTGCTATTCAGGGGTCTGTTTAGGAGAAATTTGGATCCGTTAACGGATCCTTCACAAAATAATTTCTTTAAATCGGACCCTTAACAAATTTGTTTTTCTTTATTGTTTTGTTAAACGAATAAACCCTTCCCAGGAAGGGGGGAGAGAAAGACGGATGTAAACAAACTAAGTTTTGTCTTCTTCGATAGAAATGAATATTCTGCGTTCAGCAGTATAGGCTAAGTACCAAATATTTGTATGTTGCATCTTTAATTTAGTAGCAGCAATTGCTGTTTATCTTTTAAAATTTAAATTTTTTTTTATATTATTTTTAGTGTCTGAGCATCATCTTGTATCTCTTTATAATTTAAAAAGTCTTTTGCAATAACAGGACCCTATTTGCACTTATTCATAAAAGCCAGACCCTGGTTAAAAGAATGTGACTTAACGTTTATTTTATATTCACAAGTTATGAGTAATTTTTTTCGCAATTTCACAAAAACAGACCTTTTACAAATTGTCTGGACAGACCTCTGTTATTATGAATACTTATATCTAAGTCGTTACCGATAAGTGTAACTGAATGTAAAAGATACCGCACAGTTACAGAGTAGGAAAGACCGAAATGTTTGTTCATAAATTTTCCTTATTTAAAACCTTAATATAATTTGTAAATTGACCATTGGGCTTAAAACTTAGCATGTCATGCCCTATGTCTTAATGGATACTTAATTGATATGTCTTTAGACAAATCTATAAATTTATATTTATCAAAACCTACGATTTTAATCTAATGTTTTAAATTAACTTTTGAGTTACATTTTTCAAATGTATGTAATCCTTAGGTATCTACAGATTTCAGATTTAATTTTATTTGAAGAATTATTTAATCTTTTTCACTTGATTAACAAGATAATTTTTAAAAAGGAAATCAGATGTTTTATTTTGAATTAAACTATAAAAAATTTATAGTTTAATACTAACATATATAGTTTAATACTAACATAATTAAAATATTACATTGATCAGTGAATAAATAGAATCAATGTTAATTTTGTTCAACATTCTAGACTGTCAGGTATTTTGTCAATGAGATTAGTTAAGATCAGAAAACATTACTGAAGAAAATTTACTCATGGTAGATTGTCTTTCTAATTATTGATCTATATTAACTACATATTTAATAAGTTTTAAAAGTACTTGTTTTAATAAACATACTACTAAATGGGCATAAATTAATATACGTTTAATACATGCAAATTATCATATATTTAGCTATAGGGAAATTACAATTTAAATGTTTCATGCCATTCTTATTTACTTTTAGTAATTTTTTTTGAGATTTATTTCTTTTTCGCTGGCTGTCATGACTTATCGATTACTTTGCCACAGATCACGCTAAAGAGTTCTCCCAAAATCATTTAAAAGCTGATTCTTACTGAATATATGTGCTAGTTGTATTTTATTGAATTTAATCAAGCAAACTCTGTTTTGTGATGAAAATAAATTTTTTTACATCCCTAATAAATTTACATCCCTAGTATGCAATAATTTGATAATGATTATTTTTTAATAATTTATTTAATTAATTAAGCATTAATTTATTTAATTAAGCAATAATTCATTTTTTATAAAAACCAATTTTTTTTTGTTTTACATACCTTTGATAAAGCTTTAAAAATATTCAGTAAAATTAGGAATTTTTAGAAGAAATTTTAGTTTATAACAATTATTTTTAGAATTTTAGAAAAATGTATTAAAAATTTCTGGATATAAGCATTTGAAGTGTTCTTTTATACTGCGCATGCACAAATAAGTTTAAAACATTTTCGTAATTTTGCAGTGTATCCCATTTAGTAAATAAGTAAAAAAAATCGGTAGATAATTTAGCAAGTTTCTAGAAATTTTCTAAATAGCATTTATAAAAAAGCGTTGAATATTAGGTTTTCTGAAAATTTTTATTTTATACTACTTGACAACTTTACATTATTTATTAAAAATGACACTGGCATTGTGGGGTATCATCTCCCATGGGAGTAGTTTTTTTTTTAAATTTCATTCTTTTACCATAATTTAGTGTACTGATTATTATTGTAAGGTTTCATTTGTTATTTAATTTTGCCTTATGATACAAAATATTACATATTATACATTGAGAGCTTAATTTTAAAAGTTGAAAAACTGCATAGAAAATTGCTAGACTTAAAGATTACTATAGTATGCAAAAGGAATTTAAAATTTTATCTGCACATGGTCAGTGTGCTTGCTGCTCGTATCTGCAAATTTTTTTGAACTTAGAATTTTGTATTTAAAGTGTTCCGGAAACAGCAAAATTATTAGCTTTTTATAAAAATTTCCATATCTCTATAGATATTGAAACTAAGTTAGGCAGGTGCTGTATTTTCTGGCATAGTTTTTGGGGACACTAAAAGAGGAATTTTTTTTCTTATCATACACATTAATACCACATTTAAAGAGATGAAGGTAATATGTCCAAAATTAAATTAGAGGCATAGCATCTTTTGCATTTTGAGGAGTGGAACCAAGAAAATTATTTGTTTCCTCTTGAGCAGGGTTCGCATGATTTAAACTAGTTTTAATCTCTTGATTTTCTTTTTTTTGTAGTATAGGGTTTAAAAGAAAATCACTTTTTTTTTCTTTAAAAAAAAAACCCAACCTACTTGAGTTTTATCCATGAAAAGGTAAAATTTGTCTGGGGATGAGAGTTTCTTCATTAAAAAAAACTTTTTATTAAATTTTTTTTTTTAAAAAAATATTAGTCTGATTTTTAAACTAAAAGTGCTCAATTTTGAAGAAAAAAACAATCAGTAGATTAAAAGCAGTGTTCCCCAACCCCCGGTCCATGGATCAAATGGTACTAGGCTGCCCATTTCTTTGAAACTGAATTTAAATTCCTAGGTTTATATACCAAATTAAGAATATATGTGTTTCATTAAAATTTATTTAATGCTCTAGCAAGTAAAATGTTAAATCACATTATATTTATTTTTTGTTGTAACTGTATTTTATTTTGAAGACCTGTTTAAATACAATTGAATTGAAATTAATAAATCAAAATAATCTAAAATTTAAACAGTCACCGTCTATCCCCCAGCGGACTGCGGTAAAATTATCCGACGTTGACAGGTCTGCTGTGATAAAAAGGTTGGGGAACGCTGGGTTAAAGCAAAGAAATTTTGATGTTAGACTTCAAACATGTTATAAAATTTAAGACATTTAAAATTGTTGTGTATAATAATTGTTATGTATTTTTTAGGGTGAATAGGAGAGGTGAGGAGTGTAGCGGGAGGAATATCTGAGTCAATGGCCTAAAATACATGGCCAGTTGTACCCCTCGGATTATTTTCACATTAGCTGTTCCTATTTTTGGTTTTTTAACAGTTTTGTTTCTTAAAAGAAAGAAGTTGAAATCTAGTGATTTGAAGAATTTGTCTGATACATCAAAAACTGAAGATATAACAGATTCAATGAAGCTTCAACCAGATTACAGTACAGTTGTGCAATCTTCTAAAACGACAGAAATGCAATTAAAGGAAAATGATAAAGGTACTGCATTTAATGGCGGCACAAATGGTATTTCTTCCACTGCAAATGGTATGTCAACCACTGCAAATGGTATGTCAACCACTGCAAATGGTATTTCATCCACTGCAAATGGTATCTCGACCACTGTAAATGGTATTTCATCTTCTGCAAATGGAATTACTCAACAAAATCAAACTACTGGACTGTACAGAACATCTTATGCAGCAGCACTCAAAGTTAATAGAAATGTGAATGGTGCTGTATCAAGTGTCAAGACTAAGCCTAAAGAAAATGGCATTGGTGCTAATATGCATACTGCTAAAGCTGACAATAAATTTAATCAAAATGGACTTAAGCAGTCTGCTAGAACTGAGCAAAGCACTAATGGTGAATCGAGTACAAATGGTGTATCTGAGTGTGCCTCAACTCCTGTAATAAATAAGCCAAATGGGGTATCGATTGCTACAACCCCAAATGGTGTTAATCAAACCAGCAAATCTAAATCTAGAAAGAAAAATAAGGGCAAAATGCCTGAGAAAAATAACACATGTTCCACTGAGCCCACATCAAATGGTTGTGTAAAAGATAAAAATGTACTTGTAAAAACTGATAATGAAAACTCTCTTTCCAATGGATTTTCTAATCTGACTGTAGAAGATACTTCCATACAGGAGATTATTCATGTGACAAAATCTCAAGAAATGGACTTGAACTGTTGTCCTACAAATTCCACTGTTGAACATATTACCTCATCTGTAGACTCAGTGACAGACACTCAGACAATTGTTACAGATGCTGTGCAGAGTTCAAATAATGTCATACTCATAGATGAAAACTTAATGGTTGAAGCTGCCAAAGATTGTGATATAGTTGATCAGACCATCTCCTCTGAGAATCATTGTGTTACTCCTGAATCTGGACGGTCTAGTGAAACCTTGAGTGAGACAGCTGAAACTTTGCAGGTTGATGTTAATGGACATCTGACATTTCCTGATGACTGTATTGCTGCAGGTGGTCAAGACATGCTTCCAAGTCCTGAAGCTGCATATTGTGATAGTGTGGTAAGTGAATTTTTTTTTTTTTATAATGAACTTGGACATTGCCTGAGATGATCAATTCATAATTGGTTAAATTTGTAAAAAGTAAAAAGGAAGGGGAATATAACAGTTAGTTACTCTCATTAGCTTAATTTTAAAGATTTAGATTAAAGTAATCTATTGAGTAAAATTGCTTTTTCTTTGGAAATATTAACCTAGTACTTTTAATAATATACCCAAGATTTTTTTTTCCATAGAAAACTTTTTGTTATGTTATTGTAAATGACATCTTAAATCTCCCCAATTCTTCTAGTCTGCTTTTTTTTTTTTTTTTTTTTCGAGGGGAATTAAGACAGATTTAAAGGAAGAGTTGAGTTTTGTTTAGACAAAGAATGTTTTGCAAATGAGGGTAAACACTAATTAAAAAGGCTGATATTTTAGAAGTTTTAACAGGGAATGATTGTTCCCTGGGAGGTTTCATTGTAATTACGTGGCAAGTATTCTTATATAAGTTGAACCCTGTTTTAGTTGATTTAAAAGCAATGTCAGCTACTATAAAAAGCAAATTAAGATCTGATCGTGCCATATTATCTTTTACGCCTGTGTAGTTTAATTGCCATTATTTTTATATCGACCAATTGAGGGTTTATCAATGAGAAATTGTTAAACTTAAACTGGTCTCCAAGCACTGACAGTACAGTCATTGTAAATATTAGGACATTTTATGAATTAAATGTTTCAAGTGTCATTTTTAAATTCATAAGTTGAATCTTTATTTCTACTATTGATACAAAGCTAGATGAAAACATATAAGTGTCCGATTATCAAATGAAGCAAGCTCTAATTTTAAAGTAAATGAGAAGAAGCAGCATAATCAGGGGTTGGAAAAGTTCAGCTAGCACGACTTAAGGACACCTGTTAGTGAAGGTTGTCTTAACTGGAACTTCAAAGGAATAATCTTTCCTTGCCTTTTTTATTTATCCTTGTTTCCTTATCTTTAGTATGTGTAATATTCATGGAACTCATGTTTGACTAAAGAGATTACCGTATGTTCTGGTATATACCCCCAAAGTGTTATGAAAATCAAGGAAGCCTACTTTTACGCAGTATTCAAGTCAGACATGCATTATAAAGAATGAGATAAATCTGAATAACTGTTAATTTATTGTCAAGGTTTTCCTAGAGTTTTTTTCTTTAGAAGTATTACTTTAAATTACATCCAGAAAAAAATAAGAGTAAGAAGAATTTTTTGTAATTTATCTAAGAATATTTCAAAGAGTGTAACATAATGAAAACTTAACCATGCCATGAAGCTACAAATTCAGATATTCTAAAACTAATCTTATGTGACAGAATTGGTAATGTTAGCAGTGTTATCATAAAGATTCCACTCTGTGATTGATTGAATGGAAAAATTTGTGGACTTGTTTATAAGTATTAAATTATTTCATTAAAAAAAGTGAGTGAAATAATTATAAAGTATAGTTGATATAAAATAAAAGTAAGTGTTTTTAAATCTGGCTGAAACTTAAGTAACAGGGTAGCTCCTGTAATAATTTTTTAAAAGAAATTATTTTCAACTCTGACGTATTTTTCATTTAAGTTAAGGTGTTGAGAAGTTAATAATCAAACTTATGCCACCAGTTAGTCTAAACCGATGATCTGTAGAGGCAGGAACTTTTTCCTCATTGTTTGGTCTATGAATAAACTATTTTTTTTTTAGTTCATGATGTAATTTTTTTCAAATTCATATTATATATTTATATAAAAGAAAATTATTTTGTAATGAAAGTAATGATTTTTAAGTAAAATTGATATATTTCCGAAGTAAATTACAAGTTTATTAATTTACTATAAATTATCAGTTTACAATAATTTACTATAAATATTTAACCATATTTTATTTTTGAAATATATGTATTTTTTTATTTTAAAATTTGACACATGCTCCTTTTTGTTAAAAAAGTTTTCAGTCTTAAGAATTTTTACATCTTCACCTCTTTCTCTTTTTACATTTTCTTCTATGCTTTTGACTTTTCCATGATATTTTGATTTATTTAGCAACACAGAAGTCAATTTCTCTTTTTACATTACACAAGTTTGGACAGATGGACCTTTATTTGTTCAGCTTTTTAAAGACATCACTAATTAACATTCATTTGTCGAAAAAGTTATTTTACATGCCTGTTTTTTTTGCTGAACGTTGACGATGTTATTTCAATGCTAGCTATTTTTGTTTCTCAATTCTTTAGACTCTTGATGATCTTCAGATAGAAACTTTTGAAGTGTTGTACAAAGGATTAAAAACTGTTTATCAAGTGCCAAGATACTGTGTTAGATTTTTAAAAAATATTCTGTATATAAGTAAATGGACTCATCTTAACAATCCTGAAGAGACGGAGGCAAGTAATCATTTTTCTAATTACGCAGATTTTTGTCTGGGTCAGAAGGCTCGTATTTTTGTTTTATGAATTTTACTCTCATATGTGGATGAGCACTGTTGAAATGCTCAAATTGAACATCGAAATATCTATCTTCAAACACTGTTGATATGCTCAAATTGAACATCAAACTGTCTATCTTCAAATTCATAACTTTTTGTTACTTTAGTAAAGGCATGTAGTTAGCTGTCAATTGAGACTTCCAATCTCTTTTCTATTGTGATAGATTTTTTATCATGTTCATGCTTATGTCATGTATCATTGAATAGATTGAGTATAATATTGCCTATCCTATTTTGATTACTTTTAAAGCAATCAGGTAAAAGGAAAAAATTTCTTTTAGGTTTGACAAAAAGGGCAAGTGTTTCTTAGCAATATCTTATAAGCGTTTCAGCTTAGTTAATCTTTTGATAGTTTTTTAATTTTTTTATTTTAATTGTTTTGGGAAATGTAGGAATAGGATAAGAAAATGGTGAAAAATAACTTTCTGGGCAGGCTGGATTGCTTATGAAACTAAGTGTTTAATTTTAGTTATGATTTTTTAACCAATTAATATAGTTTGTCTGAGATAAGAACTCCCCCACACATTCGTCTGGACCTGTGACGGTAACGAGGTATGACTATTTTAAGTCATGGCGCTGTCACTGTTTTGGAGTGGTTTCCGCTCGGGCGGCAAGAGAAAGAGAATCTTTTTTCGGTCTATGGTGTTAGTCCTGTAGAGAAGCTACCCTCCCTAAAATGCACCATTCTTGTTTCCGTAGTACCAGGCAGCCTCATACTTTGTGGCTGCCTGGTAGTTTAGAAAAACTATACATGTTTTTGGCTATAAAACTTTTTGCACTTCAGGCTATCTGTTATTATTCAGATGTGAGGTTATTTACAGTAGTAAGATAAGTAGAATTACTTAGAAAGGAAAAAATTTACAGTATCATTTTTAACTGTGTGACATTATTAAGACTGCCAAATTCTTGATAGACCTGGTTTTTGCATTTATTGCATGAAAACCTTATTTTCGTTAATTCTCAAAAGTTGAACCCTATTTTCACATGCATTACTGGATTATATTTCTTGTAATCTAATTGGAACTAATTTTTAAGCCAGTCTATAATGCAGAACTCTAGTTCGGAGGAAGTAGTCTTTACTTCCCTGAAAAAGTCGTTGCCAAATAGGATTTAAAAACATGGATAGCATGTTAGTAACTAAAACAGAAATGGGATATGTCTGCGAATCTTGCGGATATGAACGAAATTTTTAATTGTGTGTTTTTTACAACAGAAGATAATTTTTCTTTTAAATAGGCATTTTAGGATATTTTTTTAAATGTGCAAGACAATAATACTCTATATTTTTATTCTTCTAACTCAATAATAAAAGTAGATTTCTTCTGAAAAATCTATTGTTAGCCTAGTTACGAGTACTTCATTCATAAGCATAGGATTGTTATCAGTCCTGATGACTGAACATGAAATTATTTGATCTTTAAACTGTTAATATGAATGTTACATTTTTTTTTATCCAAACTGGTTGACTGGGGATTAAAAATAAAATTTTAAAAGAGAAAAAACTGACTGGTTCTCCAATTGATGGTCCTACCTGTCACAGTAGGTCAGTCAAATAATTTTGAATTGATGTATTTTTAAGATATATATCAGTGTCAGTGTTTTTGACATTTCCTGGGGTATTTTCAAGTTTTGTAGAAGCTGCGCCAATAAAAAAAAATAATTTAAATGCAATTAATTACAATTATATAACGCCAGAAATAATCTTTTCTATCATTTTTAAAAAAAAAATCTGATTAAGTGTTGAGTAACAATGATGAAAATACACTAAGTTTTGGATTTATTTATTTATAAGATAAATTAATAAATTTCTTAACTAAAAATAGCAGCGCATAGGACAGTATATTCTTGTTAAAAGGAGCTTATATTTTAAGCCTGTGCCTCTTATTACCAGGATTGGCAAGTTTTTGACACATGACGGTTTTCACTGGTTTATACCATGGTTTTTACCCTCATGTCAAAAACCCATAGTTTTAATAAAACTGTATTTAAATTTGAGATTAACTGCTTATGATTTAAAATTAATTCATTTTTGGGCAATAAAATTAGAAAAAAAGTTGTTAAAAGATATTTAAGAACAGATTTTTGCATTTTCCCAACATGATTATATCAAATCATACTATTTGAAGTAAAATATTAGGATACTAAACAAAATTTTCAACATTTCCAAGCATCATTTTGTTTGGCATATTACATTACTGAAGAATGTCAAGTCATTCCTGACTTAGAGTTTGTTAGTAGTTACAAG